ACATATCATTAGACTTAAACATTAAACATGATATAATTATTACAAACGATCTTTAATTAACATTTACACGTAAATATCAAATTACAAATGCTTCTACAAATTTCTTTCTGTTGCGTCTCGCGGCATCGATAGCAAACATAATATAAAATATACAATTAAATAAGTAGATTAAACATATCATTATACTTACATATCAAGCACAATATATTGTATATATTTTTCAAACGATCTTTAATTAACCTCCAACTTAAAATAAAAGTATAGACCTACATTATTAATTGACTTCTTTATTCTTTTTTTTAAATTAATACAAAATATATAAGTTTGGCAAATATGAAATTAAACATATCATTAGACCTAAACATTAAACACAATATAATTAATACAAACGATCTCTAATTAACATTCAACTTGAAATAAAATTATACATTATCAATTTGACTATCCGTTATTCTTTTTAAAATTAATACATAATATAAAAGTTTGGCAAATAAAAAAATTAAACATATCATTTGCCTTAAACATTAAACAATATAATTATTACAAACGATCTTTAATTAACATTGCAAACATTTCAATATCTCTCATCTTTTTTGTGCGCCTCGCGACATCGATGACAGTAAAATTACAAGACGATGTTAAGATAAGAAAGATAACTATTACACTGGTAGTGCATGCCCAACGCATGAGCATGCTTGTCTGTATCTTGTCTTAAGTTAATTTTCTAGCCACATTGAAGCCATTTCAGAAATCCTAACAAAATGGTCAATTGTAGCAAGTTAAATTAGAGTTGTGCCATAGGACCCATAACCATGCGTCGATGGTCTTAAAGGTACTTGCACGGATCCGGATAATAGATTTCACTACAGAATGCACAATCCTTCGAAGGATTTAAATGTGTCCCTAATTTGTTGTATTTTAACGTGTCGTACTTCACTAACATCCTAATGTTGTCACCTCCTTTCTTGGAGGTGTAGTTTTCGTTTACTCTTCCTCTACCTCTAACGTTTCGAGATTTCACTACCGGTCGCAAAGCCGATACTCGTGTGATTGTGAGTTTCCTGTAAGTTATGCTGCGTTCATTAGAACTTGTGAAAACTGATTTCACAACTTGAAAGATGCGAGAACACGAGAAGAGTGCATTCATTTGACGAAAGCTAAAATGAAATTATTTTTTCGGTGCCTATTCGGGATTTTGACAAGCGCCCTCACACGGATGTGCTCCTTGGCCTATGCTAAGCCTATGTAAAAAAAAAAGCTTGAATTAGGACTCCGTAAAGTGCATTCAGAACGAATTATACAGAGAAAATAATGAGGTTGCAAATATAACATACAAGAAACACTTTTTTTTTTAATCTGAAATCATATTACTTAAACAAATTGCAATAAATACATCTGCTCGTTTGTGTTACATCCGCCATTTTTCACACTACTTGTGCAAATCTAGGAAGAAAATTTTACTCGAGTTCACAACTTGTGTTTACAAGTTCACCGACCAGATGAACGCGTTTCACAAGTTGTGAACTGGGAAACACCGACTTCACAGGTTCTAATGAACGCAGCATAAACTTGTAAGTGTTCCTAAACTCATAAAAGATTTGTTTACGAGTTGTAGGTTTCTTATTTTGTTGTAAATCCAAGATTTTGGTGACGTCATATTAGTTATTAATTCGGCATGCTGTGTATAACATCATGTATTTTTCTGTGTTTCATTTTAAATAGTTTTTATTTCATTTTTTTTTTAAATTTTAAATAGTAGGCTTTGTTAACCATGCTTATTTTATGTTTTAATGTACAGCTGTAGTGATAGTGCCAATATCTGTATGAACATTTTTTTTTCTTTTCAATCAAATGCCATCATATTGGTTTATTTTTCTCCAGGGTTTTTTGAAAAGGCGTTTATTCAAGGAAGGTATTTATTTGAATATGACGTTTAGTTTTTTTGTCTGTTTATAAATCTAATTATATGCAAGTACTAATGCCTGTTAATATAATGAGGGGGTGTATATTCTAGATCTGACATTTTTTTTAAGTGTAGCAATTATTCATAACAATTACAGCATACATGTGTGTTTTTATGAATGTGTGTTTTTATTACTGAGCAGCATGGCTCAGTCGGCTAAACTGGTGGTAGCCTGTACATCTCCCTGGTTGAAATATAGGCCTATCTGCAGCTGTCCTTTTAGGAGAATACCGTACTCGCGCGAATAAGCGCCCCGTTTGAATAAGCGCCCTTCTCGAATAAGCGCGAAAATAAGCGTGAAAATTTCCTTAAGCGCCCCGTTTGAATAAGCACCCCATTCTAATTTGAATAAACGCCCCCTCAATAATCCAATCAATCCTGTTACTCTCACTGTGGATGTTGGCATGATTTGAGGTGTGGAGTGGAATCACATTCTCCTTTAGTCAATATCAAAGTGAGGATATTTATCTTGGACAGATGGGAGCTCCCTGGACAGACAGTAGGCCTATATTTCCAACTTTCATCTTCTTACATTTGTCTATAGCCTAGTCCTACTCCTTTTCCGACAATTTACACCTTCTCATACTTTCAATAAGATAATTGAGAAATAATTGGAGGTCTTCGTTTTCTGGTCTTTGGTCTTCGTTTTGTAGACACCCATATAGGGTGTCTATAAAACGAAGACCCTTGAAAATTTCACAAACAGACGCCCAAAAAATTTCGTAATTTTGATTTTGTGACAGCCTGGCGTATTATCATCAAAATGAAAGAGAAAAAAATAGGGGTCTTCGTTTTTGGGTCTTCAATCTTCGGTCATTGTTTTATAGACACCCTATCGTCTTTGCTGTAATTGTGACTAATTTGGGAGGCAATTGACAAACCGGGTTGTTATGTTGGATACGGATTGATCTAGATGCTATAATCATTTCACTACCCGACAAACTCTGAACTCTATTCATTCATTAGGCCTAATAGTTTCATATTGCTGTACTATATACTCCAACATCACTGGCGCATGGTAACAACCAACTGACTGCAGAGCATTTCCGGTCACATTACTCTCCATAACACAGCACCCCCTAGTTCCGTCACCTCTGGATGCTTAGTAAAGCGGTCTGCCATTCCACTCATTAACACATTACGGATCAAATACCACTAGTCTCTTTCCCTTTGATCATCCATATGGTACCGTATCGTGTGGGCCTCTGTGGTCTAAACGGTATGGTCATGGACCTATTAATAAGACTTTCAATAGGTCCATGGTATAATGCTTGCCGAGATAGGAGAGATTGCGGGATCGATTCCCACCAGAAAGCTTTTTTTCATACAACTATAATATGGAAATTTCGTTTATGAACTAGGCCTATGTTTGATACGATTTATAAACACCATGTATATTTGAAAACTGTATTTATTTGATTTATGCATCTGTGTATAATGTTTTTATTAACGCTTTTTTTTATGCGATGGTAATCATGTTCATAATTGTTCATGTATGCTGTTGTTAATTTGTGTTAGCATCTTCACCTCATGTATGGTTCTGACAGTGTATAGTTCGACAGTATATATATCTAAAATACACGCCTGATGAAGCTGTCCTCCTCTGCCCGCAAAATCCCATGTAATAGATTACATCAAATGTTGTCTGTGAGTGCTTCGCATTTATCATATTAGCATGTAGTTTTAAACTTCATCAATTAATGTTCTAGTATTATGTTTTTACAATGTGTTATGTAACTCGTATAAATGATGAATGGGGATTTTTTAAATAATTTTTTTAATAGACGCTTAATATATACTTGCAAAATAAAATTTAATGACAAGAAAGATCGACGTTTCGGGTCCATCATGGAACGATTCTCAAGATCAAGTAAATTGAAACAAGAAAGATTTTTGTTTTTATTTTTGTTTTTAGTTTTTTCAATTTACTTGATCTTGAGAATGGTTCCATGATGGACCGAAACGTCGATCTTTCTTGTCATTACATTTTGTTTTGAAATTTTTTTAATGTATATTTGTTATTCATATTTTTACAAAAAATCTTAAATTTATTACCATCCAATTTAAGTAACGTATACTGCGTGGGTTAAAATCTGTAAAACCTTTTAAAATTCAGCAAAAATATTGGATGTCTCATTTAAAGGATGCAAATGTGTTATTAAATTTCCAACGAGATTCTAAACGAAACAATTATGTTTTTGCTGATTTATTGACGCTTTTACAAACGAAAATCTCTAATTGATTACCAACCAATGCAGTTTACGCGCGAAAACATTAAGTGCGATGTTTTATGCGTCTGTTGACAAGTCTTTTGATGACTTTGTTGACAATTTTTATTTCTAAATTCAGATTGAAAGTTCACAGCATTCTGGAATACACTGCTTATAAGCAATTCAAATAAATATTTATTATTTAAGTTCATAATCTCAAAAGAGACAGTGCGTCTTTAAATTGATTACTTTACCAACCAATTTAAGTACCGTAATACTTTATGTTATAAAATCTTGAAAACTGTATATAATATTCAATTAAAACACAGACAACGGTTCTATTATATTGGCTTATGTACATTGTAAGCTTTATTGATTGCATTTTTAGATTCTCCACTTTCCACTGATAAATTTGTTATGATCTGCGAATCTCTTTACTGCACCGTTTTGTTTTTTTGTGCATTCACAGTACAATGAAGATGATAAAATAAGTGAAGAATCGTGAATCTTCTAGGATTTAGCAAGGATTTAGTTTCTATCAATAATAGACTGAACTGTTATTGATTACATTACTGTATTGTACTTTATTTTTTGAGAGTTTTCGAATTTTACATAGCGCCCTCTTGAGTTTGAGACATAAATGTTCGGCATGATACAGTACGACAGTGTGTAGGGAACCACATTTAACATACAAATTTTTAAAGAAATTTTTTATAATATATATTAATTTTTCAAAAAAAAGATTTATAATAACATTCTAGATTTTATCCGTTATAGGCTACGCGGTGATATACTACCGTACTCTTTTTTTTTTTTTTTTTTGATAGGCTGCTTTTCTTCATGATACAGTTGAAGATACGGATACAACATTTGAAGAAATTGAAGCTGCCTTCGGTACAGAAGTCAAGTCGATCGTTGCCGAGGTAACAGATGATAAGTCACTTCCGAAAATGGAGCGCAAAAGATTACAAATTGAAAATGCTCCAAAGAAGAGCATGAAAGCGAAGCTAGTGAAACTAGCCGATAAACTCTATAATCTACGCGATCTGGAGAGGTCAACCCCAAAAGGCTGGACTCGAGAACGGGTCGACGATTATTTCCTCTGGGCGGGCAGAGTCGTTGACGGTCTGCGTGGAACAAATAAACAACTAGAGGATGAGCTAGATAAACTGTTGACAAAAAGAGGCGTCCTTAAAGACAGTTGTATAGAAAGTGTATGATGACATGATCATTTTTCATCAACTGATTAGTATTAGATATCAATCGATCAAGTATTAAATCGCTTGTTCTGTAATTATTATCAGTCAATTGATAATTTATATATTCACAAACATGAATATCAATTAATTGATCATTTGTTTTTAAATTTCATTTAATTTATTTTCCTCTTACAAGACAAAGTTTAACTGTTACGAACAAAGCAAAACTTACAATTGAAAACGTACTCAAAGTTGGTCTCCTCAACACCGTTTCAAACAAAAAAACATTGTTCAAATTTATATATATAT